CCTTTTAAACACTGCATTGGGGGGGTTTATGTGGTTTTTGTTTTTTCTTTCCCAAATCAAATTTCTGTAAAATCAAATGTGGTTTTGCAAACCTGCTCCATTTCTCATAACTGCATTTGCTATCAGAGGAGGAGCCTGGGGGAGATTTCCGACACTGCTACTCCCAAGACTCCTTCCTTTCTCCTACATCCATGGCTGCTCTCCTGCATCTCTGCTACAAAAAAATGCTAGATGGGAGCAAGTGTCACCAGTGTTTGCCCATCCTCAAGAAATGACTGATCCCTTCTCCAGCCTCCTTCCCTATCCTTAGCAGCTGTCCTGAGGATCTGGGCTTCCTGTTTGGAGCAGGGAGCCTCTTCAAGCAGACTTCTTTCATACACCAGCATCGAGGCTCCTGCTCCAGGCAGCACTTTGGCAGCGCCTGGTCCTTCCTGGTGGCCGGGTCTCACTCAGTGCTCTGACACCTCTCTGAAAGATGCTGCTGTCTGCAGGGAGCCCACTCATATAGGAACCCATCCGTCCTGAGAAAAACACCCCGAGAGGGAGTGAGCCTTTGCGGGGACTCCTTTTGCACCTGGGGGAACAGGCAGCCCCGCTGGGGCTGGCCCAGCTTTAGGGGCTCAGGTTGCATCTCTGGCCGTAAGGGAGTGACATGGCCCACGCTGGGCGCCGGGTGCGCTGGGAGGGTCACTCACTCGATAGCAGGCATGTTTGGGGCAGACATCGGGCTGACTTCCTTGGCTTTTTGAAGGGCATGCTTCTGGTTAAAGGCCTCCTCTTCCTCCTGCTCATCCTATGGAGGAAACAGACAGGTCATTTAGCAGGATGCTGGCATGTCAAGGAAACGTGCACCCATCAGAGGTCGCGAGAGGAACGCGGAACCTGTTTGACACCAACAGTAGAGCCTGAGCTGGACTCAGGGCAGGAGAGGGGAGCAGGCAGAGGTATTTCTGCAGACAGCCTGTATTTTCCTCATGCTCCAGGAGCACAGCTTCCTCAGTGCAGCAAACCTTGCTGGAGGAGCTGACACTACTTAACAAGTGAACTCAACCTACTCCAGGCCAGAGTTGGGCTGTGCAAGCTAGAGCTGCCTCGGACAGAAGAGAGCAGCTCAGCCCTCTCCTTCTTAGCCACAGGGGTGAGACAGGCACCTCCCTGATGGAGTGGGAGGGGAGGGCTCCGTGAACGACAGGGCAGAGACCACATCGCTTTAATGAGCACAGTTGTGCCATTGCATGAAAAAAAATCATTAGGAGCCATTAGGAGCCATTCAGCCTTTTTAAAAACTCAGCGTTCTCTTAATTGATGCTTCAGAGCCACCAGGCCAGGTACAGGGACATGAGAGACAGGGGATCCATGCGACGAGCATGACCCAGGGCTCTCCTGCCCTTCTCGTCGGATCTGCAGCCCTTGGAAGTGCTGCCCACACCAGTTGCAGGAGGCTCCCCTAGGAGCAGCCCCGAAGACAAAATTAGCACCACAAACTCTTCCACTCCATTTCCTCTGCTGCTAACAGGTCAGATTTACACTGGCATGGAGGCCTCTTGGGGAGCCCAGAGGATATGCAGAATAAGCACAGGCTCTGCAAAAAACAGCCAGCGTGGGATCTCTGATCCTATTTGAAGAGCAGCAATGATGTTTGCAGCTTTCGCCTCCTCACCATTATCCAAATGGTGGCCCAACATTTCAGCATTCCCCAAATATTTCCCAGCATGGCCTTAAAAGCAACCAAATCCAATAACCTTTTCAAGCACCATCCTAAATTGCATCCTAAATCATGCCCACTGCCTCACAGGCAGATAGGGGATAAATATTGACACCACTGAAAGAAAGCTTCACACTTTGCATCTCCAGAGTGCTTGACAAATAGTGGTGCCTGCATCAGACCTTATCAGATAGATGAGGGTTATCTCAGCCTGGCCCGAGGCAAACGAGGCTGGCAAGTTTAAATGGAGAAGCAGTTTAGCCACACTTGATGTGAAGTGTGGGTGTTCCTGGAGAGACATGAGACAAGCAGGTTTAAGTACTTTCCTGAATCAAGGGCTAACTGGCTTTGCACAATGATACAGGCTTCATTTCAGGAGAGCTCTGGGTGCACCCTCTTAGAGGAAGGGTTCCCACATGACCCAGATTGACCCGACCCCTTTCAAGGGGATCTGAGCTTAGGGAAGGAATGGCCTGAGCACTGAAGTGACTGTGGTCACAATGGTCACAAGTGCTGCTCTCAGTGCCCTTCCTGCTTGCCCCATCCTTCACAATCTTCATACCAGCAAGAAAACAAGAGTGAGCAACTACGACCTACCTTAGTGAGCTCCTGAGCATTGGCCAGGTTGTCCACGGCGATGGCCCAGAAAACGTTCAGAAGGGTATTAGCACAGGATGCACAAGCCATGTGCTAAGGGCACAGCATCCACGAACACCCAGGGAGCACACAAGAGCCCAAGCCCTTGCTCAGGAGGTTCCCAACCACGTCGGTGAGGAGCACCTGAAGGGACAAACTCCTCACACATCCCATACACATAGTTCTCGGTGGGTGGGAGGCCCACACATTTCCTGACAGCCCCTCCTGTGTGTTTGGAAGGTCTGGGTTGCCCCACAAGTGATGGGATTCACAGTTGGAAGAGAGCTACATCTTTAAGGGAACATGAGGAGTGGGTGTGCAAGATGAACGCCCCACAGAGTGGGAGGAGATGGAGGTGTCTCTCACTAAAAACACAGCAGCCAAGTGGATACAGTTTCCAAACAAGGTGAGGACGATGAAATAGATGGAGGACCACATGCCCGAGCGAACACCTCCCTGGGAGCGGATGCCATTGTACATGACCTCATTCCAGTCCTCACCCGTCAGGATCTACACAAAAACAAGCCAGCAGCTCCATCACCAATCCTTTTGTGTGACCTAGACAGCCCATGGGATCCATCCCACTCATGGACACAGGGCAGAGACCACACGCAGAGAATAACCCAACTTTACACTTGCAGTATTTGAGGGAGAAGAGATCGGGTTCTCTGATGAGGATATAGGTCTCCTTAGAGGAGGTTTGAAACACTTCCACGTTGTATAACTAACAGAGGGGACTTCTTTAAAAAGAGAGCATGCTTCCAGACAGGGTCACAATATCACATCTGGAGGGAGCAAGCGAGTAGTTCCAACCTATTTGCTTGGTGTTCCTGTGCAACTCAGGTCCTACCTGGAACACGGTCATGATGGCAGCAGGGAAGGTGTCAAAGTTGGCTGAAGGTGTCCCATCAATAAAATTAAACCTGGAAATGGAACCAAAAGGAGGCAAGTAAGCTGAAATAAAGAAGTCATCAAAATAGAGACTCTTAGCTCTCTTGTGCTTCAGATGACTTTTCCCCATTTTAAGGAAGGTTCCCTGAGTATTTCATGCCATAATTCAAAATGCATCCTGGACAGAAGGTCCCATGCAGCCCAGAGGGACCCCCACGCATACTCTGCAATGAGAAGGGGTTCTTATATGGGAGAGGTATCACTGGTATCAGCATGCTGAGGTGCAGGCAACCAAGAAGAAATCATCCTTTGGTTTTGAAAAAAAAAAAAAAAAAAGGAGGTTACTTTCCTCAGATTTGCAACCACCTACCTGCCTCCAAACAGCTGCATTCCCAACAGGGCAAAGACTACAATGAAGAGGAAGAGGAGGAAGAGCAGGCTGATAATAGATTTCATGGAGCTCATCAGTGAAACCACCAAATTCCTCAGGGATGCCCAATACCTGGAAAACAGAGGCATTGCTGGAGCACACACAGTGAGGCTACTACGAAAGCAGGACTGATCAGATCTGGGCCACGAGCCAAGCTCCACGGATGTTTGGCACATACTTGGTTATTTTAAATATACGCAGGAGCCGGAGAGCTCGTAGGACGCTGATCCCAAAAGAAGTCCCTGGTCTGAAGATAGCCCAAACCACTTCGAAGATGCTTCCCACTGTGACCTGAGAAGCAGACACAGCCGGGAGAATCAGAGCACATGCACTTTGAAGATGAACGCAGAAAGCTGAGGACAGGCAGTCACAGGAAATGTGTTTCCTGGGCCTGAGGATGAGGCATCCAGCCACCCTGTCCCGCAACCTAGTGTCTCAGTCCAGCACGAGCTGGCTGTCCCAGGAGAAAGGACCCCCCTGCACCCTAAGAGGGCTGTCCCATTCCTCTCCCTCTGAGCACCCTTTGCTCTCAGCAGCCTGTCAAACATCCCCCCGGCCTGCAGCGTTTTGGGGGCTGCTTACCCCGCAGTCAAAGCAGTTGAACGAAGAATGGAAGTAAAGGCGCGGCCCCATCCCATACATCTTTAAGGACATCTCCAGGAGAAAGAGCCCAAGGAACAGGAACTCTGCATAGTCTGGAAGAGAAAAAACCCAGATGCATGCTCCTCAGAGCTGTGTTGAGTGCCCCATTTGCATTCACCAGTAGCCCACGTAGCACACCAAGAGGTGAGACAAGTAAAGGAGTAGGCTGTTTCTCCCAAGTTTGCTCATGCCAAGGGATGAGCTGGAGGAAGCCTGTCTGTGAGGAACTAGTAACAGAGTATGACCCTACGAGTTAGTGTTTCAGGGTGGGTGTACTGGTGTCCCGCAGGGTTGAGAGGAGGTTGGCACAGAGCAGAGCAACTCTTCAACATTATGCAGCAGTGACTGGAGCATCGGCAAAGACATTATCCACACTACACTGTAGGGGAATATTAGCAACCTGGATGTAAATCATTGCACAGCTGGAATTTGGCCAGCGTAACTGAGCCCAACAGCCAAGAGCCAGTGAAAAGCTGCTCAAGCTATTTCGTGAACACTAGCAGGCAAGAATCTGGCTTTTCCAGATTCTTTGTCCAAAAGATGCTTCTCACCATGACCAGCTGCCATAGCACACTGTGTCATGCTGGGAGCCCGGCAGGTCTGCGCATGCAAATGCAGATCTGGGCAGGCCCAGGGCTTGACAGGGACATTCTCAAGGTGAAGCAAGAATAACATGGCTGAGAAACCAGCACTGTCCCTGCTGCAGCAGCTCAGCAGTAATACACGACCGCCACGGGGGAGACCGTGCTGCTTGGCAAATAGCAGCACACTTGAAGGAACATGGATATACTGCCTCCAAGACCTGACCTTGTACCTCGGCCCACGGAGAGCTGGGGGAACATTTCAGTAGCTGGCATCAACCTTGGGGAGATCCATGTCATGCTCTACCAGCTGCTACTACACCAAAAATTTAACCAGGAGGCTTTCCCATGATCATTACCCTCACTCCTGCCAAAGGACTGGTCCCAGATCCAGGACGCTTTGCCTTCCCTTTTGTACCCATGCAGTGCTCTAACCCCACTCCAGAAAGACCTGGCACTCACAGAGGAAGTGGGTGAGCCAGGCTGGCTGGTTGTGGTGGACGATGGCCACGCAGGCAGTGTTGAGAGCTACCAGGCTCAAGACAATCCAGTAGAAGACCTGGGATTTCACCATGTGGCGGACAGAGATGCGCAGGAGTCGCTCTTTGTGCCGAAAGTAAGTAGCACCATTCAATCTGGCACCTTTGATGTTGGAGCGACTCAAGGGGTTACCTGAAGGGAAAGAAGATGGATGCCAAGGTAAATGAACTTGTCAAGTGCTTCTGACCGCCTCATGCTAAAGAGAGAAGATGGGTGGCTCGCAGACCCTGCTCTTACGGGACAAGACTTACCCAGACAGCTCCTAAATGCCACAGCTAGCACACTAGCAGGGTCAGAGGATCTTTATCAACCTCCCTTAGTACAGCCCTCACAAGTTGCCATGCTGTGCTGGTGCAACATAGGCTTTGTGGAAAGAAGGTTCAAGCTGCACTGACCTAAGGTTGGATGAAGAGGTCTTCTCTGCGCCAGCCTCCGCTCGCCGACGGAGGCGATATCGACACAGTGCTCGTCACTGGAGTCACGGTTCATGGCGTCTGTCCGGTTCCTTTTGATGGTCGCTCGCCTGAGCACTGGAAAGGAAAGAGGAGCAGGAAGAGGAGCTGTGGTTGTCCGGCTCTGCCAACAATCTGCCTGTCAGACCAGGACCTGCAAGTCAGTACTTGGCTAGCTCAGATCTGGTAACAGGATGGAGCCACAACCCAATTCCCAGCTATCCCTTGGCCAGGACCAGATGTCCCCTGAGCTTCACACTTTCCTTGGGCTTGTGCTATCCTCAGTCCCACTAGGCTGCTCTCAACCCGCCTTGCCACAGCCCTCTCAAGGGCCACATATCACTAGCCAGGATGAAGCCTAAGACCATTCTCAGACCTCTCTCCTCACATCATAACTGGCTCTTGGCCTCTAGAAATTTCAACCTCTAACTACAGGTGGGCATAAGGAAGGGCAGGCAGACACTTCTGCAGGATATTACTCATCTTACCTTCCAAGGCTGAAGTCCCAGAGTTTTTGTTCTCTTCAGCCAGCATGACTTCCTCTACACAAAACACACAGTTTAGCATTAGAATGAGAAAAAATGACAAGACACTTTTGGTTGAGCAATGCCATTAAAGTGTCACAGAACTTTACTACCTTGTACCTAAGTATTTTGTCCAGCCCAAAAACAGTTGCTGTAGGCTGCAGACCCTTGTACTAGGATCTAAGCACTATGTAACTGTCCAAAATTAAACTCTCAAGGGCGGTAAGGGTCAGTTACGGCATGTTTTATTAGAAAGGAAAATCATAACCTCACCAACGAGTTTGAATATTGTACTGTTGTACGTATTGTACATTGAACAAGCCTGTTTCTGAATTATACCTTTGGAGGAGAGACCTTCACATATGCCCCTGATGTCTCTTGAGGCCTCCTCACCCTCTCCTCTTTCCCCACACACATTTGTAAGCTAATTTTAATCACGGATTCACAGCTTCTAAATGCTGATAGATTTGTCTAAGTCTGTTGCAGATTGCACGAAAGTTGGGTCATAGGGCTAGCCAGTCGAGGCAGAAAAGGATCTAACTAATGCACACCAAGCCAGATCTGTGTGTAGATAAGTGTTACACTCATTTTAACAGACTAAAATGGGAGTCTGCAAATTATCAGCTTTCTAGAAAAGAAAAAAAGTGCTGAACTTGGAACAGCCTGCAAGTCTGACTAGGACAAGCAAGACAACTTTGGGTGCACTGACTTTTCCAAGCTATCCCACCCTGTATGGGTGGACCTGAACTATACTTCCAAATCCAAACTGTCCCGAGGAGCTGAAACATCTGAATCCAAGACCAAAGCTGAGATCTGCAGCTCAGGCCTTGGTTCAAGACAACAGTACTTTAAGTTGGTATTTTAGAAGGAAGCGTGAGCCTTCCCTTCCCAGGGTGGCATGTTCTGCAGCCTAGCAGAACCCTTGGGCAGTTCTTTCCGTGAGGAGCAAGGAGGTGAGCCGCAGGATCACGACAGCTTGGAGACCAACGCTTGCAAGTGGAGCTGGCTCCATCGGAAATCAGCAAAAACCCAAGATGAGCCTCTACCGACTCCTGTGATTCCCAGATCAGGGCAGAACCTCCCAGATCAGCCCAAAATGCCACAGGGGCAGATTTAACTGGAAACCCCTGATTTTGTACACAGAGGCAGACAGGACTTTCCAGCACGTGACAGCAGCGTCCAACCTTGCCAGCGTCCAACCTTTACCTGCTTTGTCTATCCAGGCACGATAGCCATTCAGCTCCCGCTCGATCTGCTGCTGCCGCCGCAGCTTCATGAAGGCCCGGCGATTCTCCACCCTCTCGCGCTCTTTGGCGAACTCCCTGGAAAAGGGCGGAGAGGGGGTTTTGGGAGCGCGGCCGAGGAGCAGCGGGATGCGCCTGGGCAAGCGGCGGTAACGGGGGGCAAGCGCAGACCTCAAGGGCAGAGGAGGGAAGACACGAGAGGCAAACGGCCACCCCAGGCAAAGCAGAGCTAGAGATGAATGAGGGAACGAACAGAGGGACAGAGAGAGGTGGGAGGGACAAGAGGCTTCTTTGGGGGAGCAGAGATGCTGGTGCACGTGAGCTCTGCCATTTGGCCTCACATGCCCCTGCCTGGAAGCTGCTCCTGCTGCTCAAGGGGGACATTCCCACTCAACTCCTGCACCATCTCAACTCCTTTGTACCGCTGCTTTGGGCACAAAAGCAGGATTTCTTCTTCTGCAGCTTTGCTTGGAGCCACGCTTGCTCCAAGGAATCCAGGGTGAAGGAGCAGAGGTGAATGGAGGGGAGCACAAGATGAAGAGGAGCATAGCTTGGCCCCCCAGGCTCTCCTCTCCTCTCTTTTCCCTTTCCCGGGACCCTTCCCATCCAGAAAGGCCTCAGATGCCCCAAACATATCAGAAGAGACAGCAATTTACACTCAAGAAAGACAGGACAAGCACAGAGAGAGAGAAGTGCTGCGAAGCTCCTCTTGTAATGGAGAGGTCCATGGGGAAGAGCAAAGGCAATGCCCCCAGTCTGAGGCTCACACGATCCCTTTGCTCTCTGACAACAGCTACCAAATCTTTGCCTAGCTTAAAACCCCACCATGGTGCCAGAAAGGCACCATGCCTGGCAGTTTGATCCCCTTCCAAAATCTCGCTCCATATTAAACCTGCAAGGTTAAACCTGCAAAGTTCAATGGCCATGCAACAGTCATGTAGCTTCTCACTTCTGGCTGCCTTGGACCCACCGTGAGACCACAGGTTTCAGAGCTGGGTGTTATTGCTGTGGTGTGTTTGGCTTTATTCTTCTTTATTCTTCTCATGTTGCGGGAGAGGAAAGTCAGGAAAGTCTTAGTGGTGCTTTGCAGGGTGGCACAGTTTTAGGTTTGGATTTATGACCTTCCTTGCTTTCCCCCTTTGGAGAATTTTCCCGGAGCCTCAAACATCCCTGTTGTTCTTCTCTGCAGTTCGCTGTGTCCACACTTACTGTCAACGAAGCAATGACCAGCTTCCACCCAGCTTCCAGCAGAGATCCCACCACACATAGATCTGCACATAGACCTCCCAGCATCTCCTCCTATTACTCACCACATGTCTCCTTACGCAACATAACATTTTGCACACTGCTGCAGAGGAATAACTGACACCCTGACATCCCGGGAAGAACATCCAGAAAAAACAGCAGCCGGGGTGGGTCAGGCCAGGGTCCACCCTTGCAGGTTGGCTGGACAGACACCCAGCAGGAAAGGGCTGAAAGCCTGGGAGATAGGGAGGTGACAGCGATCGAATTTGCCGCAGCTCGGGTGCTTCCAAGGCAGCAGGACAGGCTGCACGTGGTTTGCAAACGCTGCACTGACATCCCCATGCTCCTCAGCCCAAGCACAAACGCACTCCTGGGTACACCCGACGCGAGGGTTCACCCGCGGCCCGGCCAAGGCCCCGCGGAGACGCCAGCAGCCAAGACGGCGCACGCGTGCACGCGTTCACGCGCAGCACGAGACCCTGCTGACGAGCGCGGCCTGCTGGGTCGCCCGCGCGCGGCTCGGGCTGCTCCGCCGACGGCAGGGATTGTCACCGCCCTCTCCTCAGGAACACGCAAAACCCTAAGCGTTGATGCTAAGGCCATCACGCGCAAACAGAAACTGAAGTATTTGGCAGGAAATATAGCAGTGAGAACGTAGGCAACTTCACACACACATGCTGTCCTCATACCAGTGCTGTGTGTTGTATGTGAGACAACCCGTTTGGACCTGCCTCTAGGTCCCTCACCTTGTGTTCACAAGGGTGCACAAGTGCCTGCAACATCTCAGCCCATGGGTCCTACCTCTGTCGGCAGCCACATTCATGCACAGTGATGCTGTCCCCCACCAGACACCCCCTTAGCACATCCTTTCTTTCACACAAATATATTATGTGGATGCAATTTGCTGGCTGCAGCTCCCCATCCAGCCCAACAGATCCCAGCCGCTCTCCAGTCCATTAACATCCTTGGAGGTGGGAGCGGATGGGGGAAGGCCCCATCCTGCCCCCTACTCTGCACCCTGAGCTCCCCTCACATGCGGGGGCAGCCTCCCTTGCAGACACAAACTTCCAGCAGGCCCAAAGCCCGAGGTGCACAGAGGGAAAAAAGCAAAGAGAAATTCAGTTCGGAGCCTGGCCCCCTCCCAGTCCCACAGCGCTGTAATTATGCTCTGAAAATGCGCGATTATGAAGAACAAATGGCACTGTGCTTTTTACAAGACAAATGTCTCCCTCCCTGGAGACTAGCAGCATTCTCCATCCTCAAAATATTCAAAGCAACCAAAAGAATTGGTCTGTCTGCTGCAGAGGGAGTTCAAGTGCATTATCCCAGCTGAGCTATTACACCCTTAATGCTGTGTGGGCTTGTGCGCGTGTGTTTGCGCGCACATATGTGTCTGTTTGCGTGAAAAGCCCTAAATGTTCCCTGCATCTCTTGTTTAAGATCCCCAGACAATTCAAGCATTTTTAATTCCACCCTAGGAAGGTTAAGTTTCCTGCCGTTCCAGCATTGAGCATCAAACGACTCTCCCCCTCCATCTCTGGATTTCAGACTGAAATGAGAGTTTTTCTCTTCCTAGGGCAGGGGAGGAGGAGAGAACAAAAGGAAAGGAAGAGAAAAACAACCGAAATGGAAGGAAGAAGGGCAAGAGGAAAGCAAAGCGAAAGGGAAGAAAGAACGCCCCTATAACCAATGGGCAAATACACTTCCCATTTTGGGCACCTCATGTGAAGAAAACATCCTTGCGCTACACAGAGAGGAGGCAGGATGACTGCAGCTGTGCCCTCATCCCTCAAACTCCTCCCTAGCCTTTATGCATTAGCAAATTCGGGGCATCAAGAACTAGGAAGATAATATTTAATGCCAGAATCTACAGTCAAGCTGCCTTTCTCCCCCTGGATTTCCTTGGCTGGTGAAAGCCATTTCCTCCTGCGCTTGGAAAGTCAGTCCCACACGGGCATAACCTCAAACTGGGAAGTTTCTGAGCAGAAAATTTGCACCAGCAGATACACTGTGCACACCGGCGTGCCTGCAGGTGAAGAGCCCCACGGGCAGGAGCACCCACCTCCACAAGCCACCTTGGACCAGGCAGCCCTCCTCTGATCGCAGATGCCTCTAGGGCAATGGAAAAAACACCTCACAGGCTGGATCCTCAGCTGGGATACGTCACTGGGATGGTTCCACTGGAGCCAGTGCAACCACTCTGATGGGAACGGGGCCTCCCTCTCACCTCCTGCTTCCCAGGCCACTTGGTAGCTCCTGTCCTGCTGAGGCTGCTGCCTTTGCCTCCTTTCACTGCCCAGGCTGCTCAGCAAGCAAAGCTGTCCTGATGCATCCATGATGAAACCCACCCAGAAGGACCAGCTAAGCCTAAAACTTCTTTCTAGGAGGGAACGGGAACACCTTTTTCAGCGATCCCCTTATGAAGGCCCAAGTTTGCTGTGCATGGTTCACCCAGGAAAGCGCCCAGCCCACTGCCGCTGCGGGAGGTGTCAGGGACTGCTACAGGGAGGGACATTTCCTGCTGCTCCAGGAGCTCCAATTTGCAAGGAGCAGATGCTTGAGGGACAACGTCCATCCAGCTGCTGCAGTGTCCCCAAGGGTGACACTTTCCAGACTCCCAGTCCCTAATAGAGTCTAATTGCTTTTGTCCATTAGAAGAAGGGGTGGCAGAGATGCAGGGGGGGAGGGGAGCAGTAGTTAAACCCAACTTAATGAATTATTACATTTCAGAGAGACACGTTACTGAGCAGGGCAGCAGCGGGGGCTGGTGACATCTGAAAGTGGGTAGGCGATGCTGACAGATCAAGGATTGCTCAGAGCCAATTTACAGCAGCGGGGAGAGATAATACTGTATGTGAGTGAGAACAGGGCCAGCAACGGTGACTGACAGCCGTTTGGGAACGCTCCAGATCAGGAGGAGGGCAGCAGCGTGGAGAGCGCGAGGCGCCTCGCTCCCATTGAAGGATCCTGCTCCCTGGGGTATGTAGGTTACATTGCCAGGGAACATCCCGTTTTGCCTTGCAACGTGCCCCGGCGGGGTGACTCGGACCGAGGACAGCAGGGCACTGCTCCTCTGGTCAGAGCTCACGGTTGGGGCTCTGTGAAGCCAGGCTGCAAAACACTTGGTTGCAGCCAGGAGGCTTCGAGGACGCCCAGGGGAGAGCACAGCCCCAGGGGAGAGCACAGTCCCCACGTGCAACATCTCTTCTGCCCACCTGGGCCTCCTGGCCGGGCAGCTTTAGCGCAGCAGAGAGCCACCAAAGGAGCCTCCGTGCTCCATAAAGCAGAGTCAAACTCATCATGGCCTTCGGCAACCTCGACATTCTGCTCTGACCACAGAAGTGTATCTGCTACCACCAGGCAGCCACCAGTCACCACCATACTCTGACTTCTTCCTCCCAGAGCCTCAGGCACCTTCACACCAGGAAAAAAAGCTAAGAGAACAAGAACATCGTGGATGGTGCAACCTACTTGCATCCTTTCGGGAGATTCTTTGAGTCCTGGGTGTGCTGGGGAGGTCACAGCTGCATTGCCGCTTCCTTCTCTGAAACAAGGAGCCATCCATCTTCAAACCCCTTAATCCACTGCTTTTTTGCCACTGTTAAACACACTTGCCACAAGCCAACTACCAAACAGGTCTTGGAATGCTAAGTGTAGGCAGCAGAAAGGATAGGGTAGGTAGAGGAAAAATACGGGATTACGTGCCAAAGATGAGGCAGCAGTACCACGCTGCAGTGAAAAAGCCAATTATAATGGGATGTATAACAAGAGATACCATCTGTAAGACATCAGGTAACACTCCTGCTCTGCGCAGCACTCACAAGGGCTCAGCT